TGCCAGCGCCTGTGCTTATTCTTCTCCCAGGACTTGCTTTCCTGGCCCGCTCCCCCTAGATCATGCCCAGCACAGCTGATTCTAGAACACCACAAACAGGAGTCTCACCTTCAGGATGATCGAGTTACCCCACTAAGCCTTCTCGTGCCTCTTCCACTGTGTTTGGAATAGAAAGAAACCCAGCTGTCTCTAAGGATAAAAATGAAAACAAACATAAAAATAAACTACTCTTTCACTGCCAAGAGTGGGGGAGATTGGCCATTTTTTAATATTAGAAATTTAAAACAGATGGTGAGCTAATTTATATTTTCATCTTGACATTTACCTACTCAGTGGGAGTGCAATTAAGCCATATTTTAAGCTCATCATAGCCTTTATCTGGAAATGTTACCACGGTATCTGTCAATTATGCTGGCCACCGATCAGCAGAGTCTAAGGACCCAGGAATTTCGCTCTCCCCTAGACCACCCTAATCCAGGATCTCTTAGGAAGGAACCTCTGCTCGAGAACCTGCAGCTCCTCCGTTCCCTGCCTCCTACCCTGCACCTCTCAGGCCGTTTCCCACAGAACTGGAAGGGGTCTTCCTTCCACGCATCCATCCCTGCTTGATGTCAGCCTCTCCCTGACTGCACGTGACCCTCGGGACAAAGTCACAGCTCTAGGGTTAACAGTTTGCCGAGTCCCTTCAGGTCCTGGCCTCCCTACCTCTGTCCTGGCCTGGCCTTGCTGTGCGCTTGCCCAAGTCACACTGAGCCATGCTTCACCGCAATGTGTGCCTCTCACCCAGCATTGGCACCTGCTGCCCACTCTGCCTGGAGACCACTGGCCTGCACCTGGCCTAAGCCCCCCTCTCACTTCCGCTTCGGGATTCAGCTGCACTCCAGCCATATGCTTTGGCCTTGCTGTGGTAAAACATGACCAGATAGCTTTCTTGAGAACACACAGAGTGTGGCGGCCACCCTGTGGTTCTCACGGGGCCTGCAGTTCTCAAGGTTCTTTTGTTTTGTTTTTGGTACTGAGATTGAACCCAGGACACTTAACCCTCAGCCTTTTTTATATTTTATTTAGAGACAGGGTCTTGCTGAGTTCTGAGGCTGGCTTTGAACTCATCTCATGTTCCTCCTGCCTCGGCCTCCTGAGCTGCTGGGATTACAAGCGTGCGCTACTGCATCCAGCCAGCTTTCAGTTTTATGGAACATATTCTATCGAACATGGTTTCCGACTTGTTGGTGAAAACACGAATTAAAATGCTGCACCAGCCTTCCTCCTGCATAAATTGCAGAAAAAAAAAAAATCTAACCACGGTGATGATTCTTTTCCTGGATGATGGAATTTTCCACTGATGTGTCACTGACTCTGGCCATATCCACATGTCCTGTTGTCCCACCCTGTCACTCCACTCCTGAAACAGCAATCTCCTAAACTTGCAAGTGCTCTATTTCCATTTTATTTGCCCTGTGATTGAACAAATTATAACCTCTGAACTGCCTCTTGGACACTACTGAGTTGTGATCTCAATTTTAGAGGAGGTGTTGGCAGCAGCATAGGATATGAAGGTATTTTGAGATCCACGTAAGATTTCATGGTGTTTTCAGTTCCAAGGTCTTCCTGGTTTGGAAAATACTAGAGGAAAGAGAATTAATCCTTCATTCTCAAGAATAGTAGCCTCAAAGAAGGATGAGTTCCAGGGCAGAGGCTCCACATGGAGCTGGGTAACGCTCCCCTGCCCCAGCCACACCCTGTGCACCTCTGGACGGCCCCCCGGGGCTGGCAGGAGCTACAGGGTGGTCTGGCTGGGCCTGCATGCAGCCCACGGTGCCAGCCCCTGGGGACATGCCCATCCACTCCACCTCTCCGTTTTCTCCTTGTCACTTGCCTAGGACAGCTTTATGGGCCTCACAGCCGGATGTTTTCTAGGGCACTGTTCCCTTCCCCTTTCAGACTTTAATTTTAGCAAATTGGCTGAATTTCACTCTTCTTGAAGTAAAGCTCTTGTCATCACTTCCCCCACCTCGGTTCTCTTATGTAATTGCACCTGTCATTCATGTCAACGATTCTCTGACCTCATCGTTTGCTGCTACCCATAGTATTCTTTTATTTATTCTAATAAAATATATTCTTTCTTGTGGTTTTCTTTATCCTAACTCACTAAAAGCCATAACTCTGATCACTTCAACACATTTTTTCCATTTTCTTTTTGTCAGTGCATTATAGTTGCACATAACGGTGGCATTTGCTGTTACATATTCATACATGCACGCTATGTAACAATATAATTGGGCCAATATCCCTCCCCAACATCCCTCTGTCCCTCCTCCCTCCCCTGTCCTTTTCCTCCACTCTTCGATCTCCCTCCATTTTACCTGAGATTCCTGCCTCACCTTTCTTTCCTTTTTCTATTTCAGAGAAAACATATGACCCTTGAGTTTCTGAGTTTGGCTTATTTTGCTTAACATAGTGTTCTCAAGTTCCATCCATTTTCCTGCAAATAACATAATTTCATTTTTCATTGTGGCTGAATAAAACTCCTTGGTGTATATATACCACATTTTCCTTATCTATTCATCCATTGACCAGTTTGGCTGTTGTGATTTGTGCTGCTGTAAACCTAGGAATGTAGGTATCCCTGCAGAATGCTGACTTTAGTCATTCAGGATGGATACCAAGGAGCGGCATAGCTGGCCATATGGTAGTTCCAATTCTAGTCTTTCAGGGAACTTCCACACTGGTTTCTATAGAAGCTGTACTAATTTTCAGTCCTACCAACGGTGTAAACACTTGGACACGGTTTGCCAGCTTGTTCCAGTAGAAGATAAGCATGAGGCACCTGGAGTGTTTCTCTTAACTTTAAAAAAAAATTAGATCAACATAGTTTCAAACACTTGGACAAAAGAAAAAGAAATGTCTTACATTTATTCCTTCAAGGGAACAAAGTGGACCCTGCCTGCTTGATACAATGAATCAGACAACTAATTTGGGCCCCTGCAGGCAGTGTGAAGCAGCGCTCTGGGGCCAGGCAGGGCTCCACCACTTCATATCTAGGGTGCTCTCAGGGGGTTGCAATTGCCTTTCTTTGGCAAATGTAAGTGTTGGGAGCAGTAAATAAAATGACAGCTGATAGCAGCGTATTCATCTTGTCCACCCCTTCCTGCCTTTCAGCAGTATTTCAGGTACAGTGAGTGAAAGCCAGGCAGTAAAGCCACATGCAGTGGTCTCTGGTTCTTCCAAAAATACAAAAGAGCAATAACAGGAAACAAATGATTAGCCCATGATTTTTTTTAAGCCCATGATTTTGAAAAAGTACATGAAGACATGAATCACATTTATTTGTAAATTCTATATGCAAGTGCAGAGACATGCCACTAATTTTATAGAAAACTGCTGTGCTCATCTGGAATTGCTCCATGTTCTTCTATTCTGATTACCAAATTTGGAGTTGAGTAGACTTCTGTCCATAATCACAGAAACTCTGATCCAGGAAGCTGCTGCTCTCCCTGCTGCTCTTGCGTGAGTCCCCCTGACAGCAGGGGAGTTAGCCAACCCCTAGGGAGGATCTTTTTCACCAAGAGTCTGACTTGTAAATGCCTGGACTGCATTCACAAACAAGCTCACCTCCTGGAAATTCATCTGTGTCGATAAATTCTATAGTGCAGTCATTTTAATTGTGCATTTATTAGGATTACTTTGAATTGCTTATTTTCCCACCTCTGTTTTAACATCCTGCAGATGTGAATGTCGGGATACTGGGGAGACACAAGACCTATCTTTACCAGGGCTTTGAAGGAATTTTGATGATCTCCAGAGGTGAAAGATGAGTAACTACTCAACTCGACATGTAGAATCTCAGGATTTGAAGGAGACTTGCTGTTGTCTAGTGCAGCTACACATTTCAAGCTTGAATGTGGCTTGCCAAGTGAAATCAACTTTCCAGATGTCATCCAGGCAGCTCTAACTTTCTATTAAAAAGTCTCCTTATTTAAGCTCCAAACTTATACCCTTGTGTCCCAACTCTCTTAGGGACATAAAAAGGGACAAAAAAATTTATCGGGCAGCAAACTTCTTGAGGGCAAGGACCGTACTATAGTTTGGGTGGTGATATCTCCTAGGGCCTATGTATTAAAGGCTTGGTTCCCCAGGAGGAAGGTAGGACCTTTGGGAGACAGGACATTGTGGAAGGTCTTTAGGTCATTGGACAATGCTCTCAGAAGGTGTGTGGGACTCAACTGGTCCTCCCTTTCTATTTCCTGGCTAATGACTTCAGCTGTTTACTCCTCTATGTACTGCTACAGTGATGTACCACCCTTGCTAGAGATCCAAAGCAACAGGCTGATCTTGGATTGAAACCATCAGAACCATGAGCCAAAATAACCCTTTTCTCTTTATAAGTTAATTATCTCGAGTGTTTTGTTACAGTAACATGAAACTGACTGATATAGACTGTACCCATTACAACTTCTAGTAACTTGATAAATGATTGCTGACTGGAGTTAAAAACAGAAGATAGTGTTCTTTATTTGGGGATACTATCTTATAGAATGGCAAATGATCTAAATTTAAAATTCACTAAGAAAGTAAAATATAAATAACTGATTTTATTGTTTAAATACTATAGCTGATAGATTTTATTCTTTTGACTTAAAATCCAATCTTAAGTGCTGCAGCATACCTTCACTGAATGTCTCTAATGATCGTATGGATTTAACTCTTAGACATCACACTGCAGAACATACTGTCTGAAATCAAAGACAGAAGTTGAAAATCCACTACGTGGGTGTTAGAAGGCCTAGGCTCTGTCCCCAGACCCACCACTGCCATCCAAGGGCCACTCAGACTCTTGGTCCCTGACTCTTGGTTGCTCTTCTGCAGATGGCAAGGGTTGGACCAGGTGCTCTCCTAGGGCATTTTGTGGCTGCGCCCGATGTGAGCACAGACCTCTGACTGTGAGCATCACAAGTCTGCGCATGGTCTGAAGCCAAGGCTGCTCTCCCTTCTCTTTTCAGAATACCTTTCTTCAGGAAACTGTACGCAGAGAGTGTGAAGAGCGCTCTGAGCTGACGCAGGCCCTGAGCCAAGCCCGGGAACAGCTCCTGGCGCTGAGGAAGCTCAGCGGAAGCCTGCCACGGCCACTGTGCTCCCTCAGCAGAGGCAGCCCAGACCTCCCTGCCCCAGCCTCTGGCGACCAAAGGGACAGCAGCCGTGCAGTACTGCGTGCTGGACGAGGACTCAGAACCCCCAGTGCGCCCGGAGCGTCCAGACGCTCCATCTCCCCACCCGCAGGTAAGCCCAGCAGGGCCATCAGCTCCAGTGTGCCTGCGCTCACCCAGCAGCAGCTGCCCAGGGCCCGAGCGTCCTCACAGAGGCTGGCTGCCACTCTTTGGAGGAGGCTGAATCGGCAGTGACTGGTCCCAAAACAGGAGCTCTGCACAGGGCACAGGCACCCCTCCAGGGGCCCAGGCTGTGCACCCATGGAGGCCAAGATCAAGCATGTCTACAGGAACAGATAACAGTAGGCTGTCGGAGGACAGAACGCTGTGAAGTCACATTTCCCAAGAGATCTTTGAAATCACAACCGATAAAGAAATTGTTGATACTGCAGAAGGCCAACAGAGAAGCCCGTGTATTTATGTTTAAATGTGCTCTACTTCGGAGGTCACAGGGAACACATTGTCACCCGTAGCATCTTTTCTTTCTTCCTTTTTTTTTTTAACACTATTACAAGTAGACATTTTCCCCAAAAATAGATGACATTGGTTTTATTAGTGTGTGTTTGTTGAGCTAAATAGGTTAAAAATATATAGAAGTACTCAGAATAGAGAAAGACAGTATTTTAGTCCTTAATTAGATGATTTCCAAAATATTTAGTTCATCTGCAGAACCTGTCCTTTACCCTGCAGCCCACTGGTTAGTGGGTTCTGTTCCAGCTGGGTCAGAAGTAATGATGGAAAAATTCCAGGAGGGTCTTCCCTAAGTGGTGGGACCGTCCAGGGCCAGCGATGGCATCTCAACTCCAGGACAGGGAGTTTTCTTTACTTTACGAAGCCTGGGCCATGAAAATAATCCTGGGTAGAAATTTTCTGCATGTAATGCTGTTGGCATGCAGAGTCAGGTTTTGATCAAATGCTTATCCTCCAGCCGTGGAGAACGTTGTGGAGGTGGCTTAGTAAAGGAAACAGAGCGCACTTGGGATTCAAATTCTATTACCCATGAAAATGGGAACTGGTAACACACTTTCTGTTTTCAGAGTGAAAAAGGAAAACCAGAAACCAGATGAGCTATTTTAAGTTATTTTAAGGCTTCAGGCTCCTCCTGGTCTTAAAACATAATTCTTTACCTTCGACTAATATTCATCTATCTTTTTTCCCATATTTTCTTTTTTTAAAAAAATTAACTTATTTTCCTCTGACTACAGTCCTCCATGAACATCCAAACCACCTCCTCACATATTAGAATAATAGCAATATGAAATATAGTATAAAATGTCTCCTAGTTGGCTACTCCATTGATGAGAGAATACAAAGGTATTTGGGATCTATCCCATGTGTATAAAGGGTAGAGTCACCAAGCAAAATCATGTTTATCTTCAGTCTTTCAAAGAATTAGTCTGACCTACCAATAGAGTATTTTAAACTCCCCCCCCCAAAAAAAATCCACATGAGATCCACTAATATATCCCCACTTGTTCAAGGACAGCATTCGTGTTAGAGTTTGATACTAACTTGAGATTGTTGTTCTTGGTAATGGCATTTGACAAGTGAGCACGGCTCACAGGATGGGGGCCCTGGATGGACCAACAGGTCACCCTCACCATCTCTTTAACATAAGGGGTGGATGCTTAAGGCAGTGCAGCCACTTGGTGACAGAACCTCCTGTCACTGAGCTCAGTCTTTCCACCTCACAAGAGCTTTCCAAGCTTTCACTGTGAGTTATTAGTAGCACCTGTGCATGTATAGTGTTTTTCTTTAAGGGTGCTTACTTTTTTAAACTTAAATTTGCATCAGAAGGAAATTTAATAAGGAAGAATAACCACAGTAACGAGTTTGGGTTTGATTTGCTAGTTAGATTTTTTTTTTCCTAAGGAACTTTAAAATAAATTTTGTATTTCTTAAGAGATGTTGGTCCATCTCTGATACCACCTTGTGAAATGCCAGGACCATGCTCCATACCTCCTTGTCTCTGACCTGTCATTTGCTTATTTCAGTCACAAGTGCTAGTGACATAAGGCAGAGGCAGAAGCTGGTGACAGCATTGAGGAGTGCCTGGGGTGGTGGCTTTGTGACCAGGGGTCTTGCGGCTTCAGTCTCGCAGCTACAGCACCCTTTTCAGGAACTGTGGGGCTACAATGGGTTTCTTCCCTCAGTGGTGGCCATATTTGGATTAGTAGATTTATGCGTAGCTTTTCTACAGCGAGGTGCAGACTAGCAATGCAAAGCATGGTTCCTCAGTTTGTTGTCAGTCTCTTGCTTTACAGTGAGTGATTCTGTAACCGAGCACTCTGAGAACAGAATCATGATCTGCAATAAGGTTGTTATGTTCCACTTCTGTATCAGCGAAGTGATTCCATGGCTCAACAAAACAGTATTTTCATTTACTTTTACCTTGCTTGACATCTAACACGTGGGCACTCACATTCTGCCTTTCTACGCTGTCATTGTGAATCGGTAAATCTCCCAGAAATCTGGTGGCAAAAGGAAGTCCGTTTCCATTCAGAAGAACCTAGAATATCTTCCATCAGCACCCAAGACTCTGGCCCTGAACAGAGCTAGAGATTTGATGTTAGTTGTTTAAACCAGTATAAATGCTTTTGTTTCTATCACTGGCAACTCACTGAATAATCTTAAACTTCAATGTTATGTTGAGGCCAAGAGGGGGACAAAAGGACAGTCAGTGTAGGCAATGAATGGTAGGGTCATGGGGAAGACCCGGGCAGGTTCAAAAGGAAAGGGAGTAAAATGCTAATACCTCCAGAGGCCTTAACCCTCTTCCACCTGTTGCCAAGGTAGCCTGCCTCCAGGGAATTGTTCCTCCCTGCAAGGGGTTATTAATTAATGTTCTCTGGTCCACTTCCTTCCTGCCAATACCAGATACCCCTGGGTGGTTTTGTTCCTGCCCTTGGATCATTCTACCTTTTGGCCCACCCTATGGTCACTAGTCACATAGTCAGGATGGGGGAGGAAAGACATGAGAACAAAAGAAATCTAAAAGGTATAAAAGGGGCAGGACACCCCCACTTCCTCAGACACTCAGCTCTTTGGAGAAGTCTATCTCTATTGTATCCTTTAAATAAAACTTGCTTTCTACACTTGCCTCGGTGTTTCTCGGGTGTTCAATCTTCACATCAGAGAGATGGGACTCCACTCTGATTCTCATCACCGGTATCAACAACAGCATATGTTTGGTTATCTGTGTTTTAAGACTTGTGAAACAGAGTGCTTAGATAACATTAGAATTATGAAGAAAATAGCATAGTACCATTATTCTCCTGAAAGTAGTTCTAAAACACTTGAATGTAATACTACAACTTGCAGAATTACATCTAGAGCAATTTATTTTAAAGGCAGAACAAACAGTAGCTGTTTGGGAATTCAGTTCCAATTCTCCACTTCAAATCTGCGTGTAAACAAGGCCTTCTGCTAATCTGCTCGTAAGCATCATCCAGTTCATCTCATGATGCCACCTTCTTTACATACCTTGAATCAAGAAAATAATGAAAGAGCTTCATTCCATTCACCATTAAAAATTTAGTGAATACCCTTTATTAACATTCTTAGTACTATATATAGCTTGTATGATTATTTATTACTATTAGTTATTCTTAGAGTTCATTCAAAGTCAATAATTAATATATAATTAGAAATTAAAGCATTTTAAATATGAAAGTATCTTTAAATAGATACTTTCATAAGACGTTTGTGTGAAAGGACTTAACACTGGAAAGGCATTTGTTTGCTGGATGATATGAACACCTGGCTTTGGGTTTGCACCATGGCCAGATAAACCACTCTTTCTCTCAAGCGGGCTCAACGTGTTCTGACACATAAATCTAAAGAGATGCCCTCTGTCTCCAGTCTTCGTAAGTCAATGAGTTCTACAGTTGTAATTTTCTACCCAGAATCTTGTTTTTCTAGGGAATTAAGGTCACTGCCAAGATTCAAGTGACTACTTCTTTTCACTGATTTAAAGCAGGATTTCTTAAAGCCCAGGGAAAGTGAGCTCCCATCCTCTTTTACCAGACTTTTAAAGTAGTATATTGGAGGTTTAAGCTGAAATCTCAAAGGATCTCAGAACTGGAATCTTTTATTTTTCCTACTGGTGCACAATGCTCAGTATGAAAAGGGAGAGATGTCCTTTTGGTGAGCTAGAGAAAAAGGAATTCCCACCTTACTTAACAGTACTGATTAGCTAAGGACTCACCCCACGGTTCTCTTCAGAGTCATGAGGCAGTGTTTTTGCTGATGTACCAAAAACTGTCTTTTAAAAACTGTTTTTAGAATGATAGTTAATATATTTAATTATAAATTTAAATAGCTGCAAACTATACTGTAAAAATAATAAGTCTGTTACAAATATTGGTACTTACAAAATAAAATTCTTACTTTAAGGCCTTTTATAATTGTAAAAAAACATGCATTATGTGGTAAAGTTCTTGTGGATTGAATTATTATTACAGTAGTTATTGCTATTCTACTATTTGAAATAAAATATATATGTTATGAATTTTGGTAAATGATTAGTAAGCATAAAAGTTCAATTCTAATAATAATGCATTCTTGATGAGATGAATCAATTTATTTTTCTTTGCATTTAGTGAAAAATAAAGGTAGAGTAAAAAATAATTGGTTTGTAGAGGGATCTTATTTACTTTGTATTATTTGGAGACAAAAATAGTAAATATTTTAAGATGAAAATTTTACTGAATTGTAACAAACATTTAAAAAGCCTCTAATAAAATTATTTGAACTGCTGCATTGAATAATATGCAACAAGGAGAAAGGTCTCATTGAACTTTTCTCTAGTATACTAGATAAAAATTAAATGTTAATAGTTTAAAACTTCTAGTTACCCTTAAAAGAACTTCCCTAAGCAGTACTGCCTTGCCCGTTTTAAAGATTCTCTGCAGCTCACAAGGCCTAGGCAGACACCAAGAAGAGCCTTGAATGCATTGGCCCAGGGCCGTCCCTAAGAGTCAGCCTCTCTCAGGAAGCTTTGTCATTCTTTCCCCAAGCTGCACTTCCACTGCATACTTCGACAAGACTATGGCTAGAAGAGGAAAGCCACAGATCCCAAACCCTCTGACATCCATCCATGCTCCACCTGGTATCTGAACTGAGGAAACCCCATCTGACCAAGCCCATCCACCTTATGGAGTCTAAGGCAGATCAAGAATCACTAAGATGAAAGTTTCCAATTTCCAGCCCCAGGCAGCAGTAAAAGTAGTGCAGAGCCATGAAGACTGAGTTGGGGTCAAGGAGGTGTAAATTTTGTGTAGCTTACATAGTTATTCTGAGTCAAAAATTATTCATCAAGTTATTGATATTTCTATAATGGTTGCTGCACAGAGGCTAAGGGAGGAAGATCGAAAGTTCCAGGCTAACCTCCGCAATATAGCGAGACTGCATTCAATTCCCAGTACTGGGGAAAAAAAATCACCAAATTTACACAACTCATTGACTTGAGAGAAAAGAGCTTATGCTTGTTTTTACCATTTTAGCCCTGGACATAGTACATTGGTAGGACAGTTGGCCTTATTTGCTGGGAAAAAAAAGTTTTCCATGTTTTAATGTTATGACTAATGGTTCAGATACAGCCCCACAGCTGTCAGAGCTTGTTCTGCTCATATATTGAGAGCCTTGGAAATGTCCATGGAAACACCTACAACTTGCTGCTTTAAACTGGACTTGGTGCCTCTTGGTAGCATGTGGGCAGAGAGTATTGCTGCTACTGTTACTGATGTTTTAGATGTTTCTAATGGCAGCTTCATAGGCACACTCTACTCATGGTACAGCCATGCCCATCCCTCCTGGGAACTCAGACAGGCACAAGATGGGTGTCAGCTGGGTCTGAGGGCATCCATTTTGGCTGAGTACAGGAACCTGATTGCATTTCAACCATAAAATCTTTATTTTATTCTATTTTATTTTATTTATTGGAACTAGGGATTGAAATCAGGGGCACTCAACCACTGAGCCACATCCCCAGCCCTATTTTGTATTTTATTAGAGACAGGGTCTCACTGAGTTGCTTAGAGCCTTCCTATATTGCTGAGGCTGGCTTTGAACTCAAGATCCTCCTGCTTCAGCCTCCCGAGCTGCTGGGATGATAGGCATGAGCCACCTCAACCGGCCAACTACAAAATCTTTATGAATTGCTTGTTTTATTATTTATGCTGCTTCTGACCTCATTAGTATGAAAGCTGCTAAACTTTTAATGGGGAGAATAGTATGTTTATACACTATTAAAACTCAGTCATTAAAGGTATAATATAAGCCGGGCCCAGTGGCACGTGCCTGTAATCCCAGTGGCTCAGGGGACTGAGGCAGGAGGATCATGAGGGTGTGGGAATGTGGCTGGGGATGTGGCTCAGTGATGAGTGCTCCTGAGTTCAATCCCCAGTACCCCAAAAAAAGATATAATATAACCTTGTTTAATACTGTGGGGTTTAGCATGCACATCTTCTCATACATGTTTTGAGTTTGCCTGGAAACATGGTGAGGATATTGTCTCAGCAGTTTTCTTCACCATCTCTAGCTTTAGTCGTGGCACTCCTGGGGAGATAATTTAGCCTCAGCTGTCCTACCTACCGAAGTGTGTGTAAATGGAGACCATGGTACTCCCTAAGCCGACCCACGCTGAGAGCAGGGTTTCACTGCAGGGATTTTTCTTCACTACCAAAAAGGCATGAAGAGAAGAGACCTGAGCCCCCCTTACCTGGGCTGGCCCCTCACTTTGTGTTCCAAGGCTATGATGGCTTAGCATCTGGCCAACAGGTCTTGGGGTGGCAGCCCATTCCCTGTCCCATTAAGACCTTGTGATTAAAAAAGAAGAGGCTCCACCCCTCCCAGCACAGGACCACAAGGTAGCAAGATATGGGTTCCTCTGCTGTGCCCAGTGGTGCTGCCCCCTCAAGACCTCAAGGCCACTCTGTTGGGAACAGTCTGAGTCGGCAGCTCCTTCAAATGGCTGGGGAGGAAGTGAGTGCGAAGCAAGGGAGGCAGAGGTGAGGGGGGCATGTCCTGGGAGTGGAGCTCCAGGGCACACCAGACCTGCAGTGTGGGGAGCGGAGTCCCAGGAACACAGCTGATCCTGGGACAGTAGTGCCCTAACCGCTGGTGCCCACAGGTGATGAGTGCCCTGCAGGAGGCCCAGGACTTACCGAGCCCTGTGAGGTCACATCTCATTAGCTTCCTCTGCAGATGGGAGAGCCTGGGCTGAAAAGGCTGAGACGCTCACTCAAGAGGCACAGTGAATAAGTGGCAAAGCCTTATTGGGAATAGGCAGGATCGATGGGGTATCACCATACCCTCCAGCTATGTCTCTGAAAAAGAAGTGACTCTTGCCCCAGAGCAAACTGGATGACATCTCTGTACCCTCTCTCTGGACAAGAACATTCAAGAAAAAGAACAACAAACCCAACTTAGGAACTATAGAAACTGCAGTACAGAACAAAAGAAAGTAGCACATAGAAAAAGAGATCTGAAGGACCTTGAGATCTTCTGGGACTTTTAGGAAGTTACTTCGCATCTGGTGGAGGTGGAATACTGCAGGCCTCCTATTCCTTTTCTGTAGTCAGTCTTTAGGTCCTGTGCTGATATATTTCCAGGAAATGCCTTAAGTCTAACCTTAAAAGTGAGAAGGGCACAGGCAAGGGGTGCAGCTCTGTGATAGAGCACATCTTAGCACACAGGAGCCCTGGGCCATCCCGCATCCCCACACAAAACTGATTAATGAAAACTGACAAAAGATAGAAAACCAAGACTTTCAAAACAAAACAAACCAGGGCTTCCTGAATATAAGCAAAAGGGAGAAAGAGTCAATAGCAATACAGCTGTTCAGAAGAAAAACTTGGCAGTGAAATCAAAGGCCCAGGTTTACAAGAGTAAATTCAAGTTAAATTTAGCAACCTTAAGAGTGCTCTGGAAAGTCATCTACAAGTGTTCTTTTGAAATGCAGGTCTTCAGGGCTGGAAAGGTCCTCGTGGAATGGAGCCTTCTGTTCTCAAAGGCCATTTACACAGCCTGCTGGTGATTATCAGCATGGTGATCCAACGCCCCAACCTCAGCAGATCACACTCTCCCACTATTCTGTCAGAGCGCAGATCTGAAGCTCATCTGCTGCTCTTCCTTTGATTTATCTCTACCTTGGGGGCTCTCTGGGTCTCGGTTTCCCCATCTTGCCATCTTTCCCTGTTTATTCTTTTGCTTGTGCCCTTGTCCATCTCCTGCTCCTTTGGGAATGATGATTACAGTATGGTTAGGTTACCCTCTGGACATCTGAACAAGCTTCTTTAAAAGCTAATTTCTTTCTTTGAAAAAAATATTTGCTGCTATTCCAAGCATATATATCCCCCTCAACCCACCAAATGTATTTTTTTAAGTTAGTGCATATTAATTATACAGAATAATGGGCTTCATATCCGTACACACCCGTGCCATGTTTTGTCCATTTCCACCCCCTTTACTCCCTCACCCTGCTCCTTTTCTGATAGTCTCCCTTCCATATTTCATAGTCTCCCTTCACAATTTCTTGGTGATCCACTCAAATAACATGTGAACCTTTGAATATCTTAATGACGATTTTTCACTCCCTTCCACTTCATGTTTTTTTTGACAAGTATTTGAATTCTATCTTTTTGACCCTGCAAATTAAAAATAACATATTACCATTGTGTGTAGTCATTGTTTATTTAGATTTACCCAACATTCCATTTATTTTTTCAACTCAATTCTTTGCTCATCTTCTTCTCAAAGCTTCCTGCATCTGACCTTATAACCTTTCTTTCTGAAGTCATTTTTCCCTTTTCTGTAAGTTTCATTAAATTTTTATTCAGTCTGCTTGATTGGAGGGTATTGGGGATTGAACTGAGGGTCACTCGACCATGGAGCCACATCCCCAACCCTATTTTGTATTCTATTTAGAGACAGGACTCACTAAGTTGCTTAGTGTCTCGTTTTTGCTGAGGCTGGCTTTGAACTAGTGATTCTCCTTCCTAAGTCTCCAGAGCTTCTGGGATTATAGGCATGCACTACCATACCCAGCCATTGATTTTTAAAATTCTCTTTTTCTTTGCTCACAAATTCTCCTTACACATATTAAACTTACTTTATTTTATATTCTGTATCTGATGATCTTTATAGGTCTGATTTCGCTGCCAGTTTCTGCTGATCCTCACTCATGGTGCTTTGTCTCCTTGTGTCTTCAGGGCCAGGGGAATGTTGTAATGGGAACTTGTGTGTTCCTTTGACCTTTCTTTTTAGGAAACCCACACTGAGCTTGCATTTTCCCAGAGAGGATTTGTATTTCCCCTCTAGCTTATTATACAAACATTTGGGAGCACTTTAATTGAAATTCTCCTTTTTTGATTTTTCAGATACAAGTAATTATAAGTTCATTCAAAAAGCCAAGGGAGGGCCAGGCTGGTTCCAAATGCTAAATGAGATCTCCTCCTACAAACCTTAAGTAGGATTTCATTGCCTGTAACCATAGGACCTAGGCTGGGATGGGACTGCCTCCCTGTTCTCTTGTCCCTTTAGTGGCTGCCAAGGCAGGAGGTGGTGCTGCAGGTGGGCGGGTGTGAACAGAGCTTGGGCTGCTTGTCCCAGCCTGTGACTGGCTGCGT